TGGCCCTTTAATCTGCTGAGCTATTTTGCCAACCCAGGATTTTGATTTTTTGAAAAGTGATTCTCTAGCTTTGTTTTATCAAGGAATTGTAAGTCTAGACTCATCCCACTGTTAAATCACTGACTAGTAAAGATAACTACTTATGGAGGGGTGGACAAATTAGGGTTTAATGTATGTTTTTGGCAAAAGATGAATGAGGGAAAAATGTTTAGTGTAATATTGGATCGAGTTTATTATTCAGCATTTTATCGCTAGGTTTATGCTTGAGTTATGTTATGTACAACCCTAAACCTAATAGTAATGAGCTTATTTATCAAGTAAACACTTGCACACGCTGGCTGCTCTGCTGTCTATCACCGCAAGCTCCTGTTGACTCAGGAAATTCACAGGAGTAAGTGCAGTGTGACAACTCAGTTTTGTGGTAGCATCTGGGTCACCCAAGTGGTGCAAGCCTGAGTTTGCCCTTGGCCCAAAAGTTGTAAAACAGAAAAATCACCAGGTGCCATTGTTTGTGTCTAGCTGCTCTTATTGGACTTGAGATGATTCTTACTCCAGCTCAATTCTGTGGGACAGTCATTTGGAGGAAAGATGTGTACTAATAATGTTAGACAAGATCTCATGTCTGCATCTTGTACTATGAATAACTACTATGAAGACAACACTATGCAATGTATTACTTATTGTAACTTTTCTACTAACCTGTTTTGAAGCTGTCTCATTGATATTTCTTTCTCAATAGAATTAACATTGTCCATGTTTGTAATGGAAATAGTTCAAGTGAATAGGTGAGAAAAGACAGAGACGTGAAGAGACATCCTTGTGGGAGCCCAGGAGCATAAGAAGCTCTTCGGTATCTTAGCCTGAAGTGCGGCACACCATGGACATGAAGATGTTTCCTGCCTGGAGGGAGGGTCTCTATGGCCATTTTCACTATGTTGCTCTTCCTATCCATGAGCAGGGACACGCTTCCACGGCAGGAAGTCTTCTTCAATCTCCTTTTCCACAGTGCTGTAATTTTCACTGTATATATCTTTTACTTCATTTGCTAGATTGATTCCTATGTATTTCTTTTTTCATTTTCTTTTTGTGGATGTTATTGTGAAATACATGGTTTCCCTCATTTCTCTCTCAGGACATTCATTGTTTGTGTAAAAAATGCTATTGAATTTTGGGTGTTGACTTTATATCCTGTTAGGCTACTGAATTTGATGATTAAATCTACAAGTGCCTTGGTAATATATTTGGAGTATTCTATGTAGTGTATCCTGTCATTTGCAAATAATGATGATTTCAATTCTTCCTTTCCTCTCTCCTTTTATTTCTGTCTCTTGTCTAATTGCTCTGGCTAATGTTTCCAGAACTATATTGAACAGGAGTGGTGACAGTGGACATTGTTCTGTTGTGCCTGATTTTAAAGTGAACCCTTTCAGGTTTTGTCCAGTTAGTATGATGTTGGCTGTTGGTTTCTCCTAGATGAATGGCCAT